GGAGGAGGAGGAGGAGGAGGAGGAGGAGGAGGGAAAAAGGAAGATCGTGATATGCCGCGGACTTCATGTAGACCCCGTCATCTAGACATTCATGACTATTTTCGGTTCTGAATTGCCCGTTGTCGCCATCTACTACCTGGAACCATCGTCATTTGCGGGCGCGACGTCGCACGCGACGCCCACCGGCGCGGCGAATTACGATTCTCTTGCCACCTACCCGGTAAAGGATATTTCATTGCATCACAAGAGTTGACAGGCGGTCTCTAAAGACTTTGGCTGGCATCATTTCGTTTTCACAGGTATCCATTTCATGGATCGGCACGTCGATAGGAAGTAGCATTAGAGCAACATGCCCCCCCCCCCCTCGTCGCCGATTGTACCTGCAGCACCTTTCCCTAAGCGTAAGCATGATCCTCAATCCCTGGTCCCAATCTTTTCTTCGCACGGTTTTCTTTTGCATTAGTCGTCATGCACTAAATGACGACCAACGCAAAAAAAACAAGGGAGAATGGAGTGGAAATGAAGGTCGTATCATTTGCTAGGGGCTCACAGGCCTTTACCAAATGGCAAAGCACGTGGGAACGACTTAAAGACACATGGTACGCTCAAACACATTGAGGGTGTATGAGACTATCAGCCCCCCAGCTGTCGATGTGTCGTGGTCCCCCGCCCAAACATGCCCAGGAATGGAGATACAGGACCGTGAAACACGCTAGTTCCTCCATGCTCCGCCTTACACCTTTTTGCGGCGCAGATTCCCGTCCTTCATAACATCCGTCGTAAGCGCGCGTGTCGCGTGCGGCTCCTTGGCACTTTGCCAAGTCCTTTAATTGCGCTTTCAAATACAAGTAAAACGCAATTTCCTGATGCGGATAACATTGGAGGTGCTACAAAATAAGAACAGAAGATGATGACGAGGGCCAGAACTCAAGAGCAACTCGGCTGCATCTGCAGTATCCATCAGGGCCGCGCATTCCCACAAAACATGAGAATAAAAACAGCCCAAGCGTCCCACTCGTTTGTTCTAAGTATTTCTATGGCTTTGGCGCCGGATTCGCGCCGGATCGTAGAAATTTACAGGCGATTTTAACTAATTTGCCTTTCCTTGATTTTTTCATTTTTGTTTTGTTTACATTTACATCGTTGTGCTTCATTTCTAGCCTGTGTCATCTTCATCTCCTTGTACATGGATTTTGAAGCATGAGCAACACCTAAAATTTTATTCGCATCAGGAAATTTGCTTGTATCAAACTAACGAGTATGCCGTTTTTATTTTCATGTTTCGTGGACATACGCGGCCTCCGAGGGATGTTGCAGAAGTGGCACAGTTGCTTTTAAGTTCTGACCCTCGTCATCATCTTCTGTTCTTATTTTGCAGCACCTCCAATGTTATCAATTGCGTTTTACTTGTATTTGAAAGCGCAATTAAAGGACTTGGCAAAGTGCCAAGGAGCCGCACGCGACACGCGCGCTTACGACGGATGTTATGAAGGACGGGAATCTGCGCCGCAAAAGGCATTGGGCGGAGCATGGACGAACTAGCGTGTTTCACGGTCCTGTATCTCCATTCCTGCGCATGTTTGAACGGGGAAACCGCTATGCTTCGACAGCTGGGGGCTGCTAGTCACATACACCCTCAATGTGTGTAAGCGTACTACTGTGTCTTTAATAAAATGCCTCCTGTCAGCTAACTAGCGCCAACTAAAGGATATTCATAACAAGAGTGCTGAGTCATGAGCAAAAATCGCACCCCAGAAGGGACTCAAACCCGCATTTACTAATGGGGAGAGTGCGCTACCTACTGCGCCACCGGGCCAAGAAATTATCAAAGTTATGGGCAAATGTCGGGCCCCAGACGCAAACTGCGCTGTCAAACCGCAGTTATCAAATTATAAGAACTTCAATACTTATAATTCTCCTCGAACCTTCTAGCTGTCATGGAACACACACTTTCTAGCATTTTTTCTGCAAAACAGATTAATATAGGACGCACAAAACATTTAACTGTCAAACCACGACCTTTCGAAACACGACATGACCTTTCGAACTGGGATAAGTCATTACACGGGGATTGAAAGACACTCAAAACTTTTTGAACCTAAAAATCAGCCTCGCTCGGGTTCAGGCGAAACTTTGGCCCGCACGTCACGCTTTGCGGGCGGGTGTGCTATCCATTACGCACATGAAAGGATAGCGCACTCATTCGTCCGCATTTCGTAGCGCGAACTGCGTCGGTAAACAGCAGTCATCACACCAAAACAAAGTTAAAGTCTATCTCGAAAAATTGCATTGTTCATTCCTCTTGAAACTTGAGCATTTGTCTCCGCATTTATAAATAACTTTTTTGTCGGGCTTCTTCCATTTCAAGTGATATCATGATATTATATTCACGAAAAATGATTTTCAGGGACTGTCGTGGGAAAGATAACTTTTCAGATGGAATACAGTGTCGCTTTCCGAAAGGGACAAGGGTAGGTAACGCCAAAGCAACAAAACTGATTTCTGCACCGATATTCCTGTAGACTGCTACTTAATGAATACCTAATTCCCTCCGAAACTTAGCGGCAGAGTCCTGGAAATCTAGTAAGAGCTACAGCCAGATTATATTACGAGTTAATTATCTTCTAGCAGGCAGAAAAAGTTTGCACACAAAGAAATCCTTTCATAACATAACATAGTTACCATGTTTGCGAAAACTACTTTCGACAATCCGCACAATCGTGAGCTAACGTCTCCAAGGAAAATTGACGATAAGCTTTTCGATATTATTAGCACAACAATGACCCCTTCTTTATGAACTGTTGAAACCAGTAATGTATCGCTCTAATTTGATTATGACGCAGTCCATCACGTAAATTTTTACACCACGGAATTTAAAAAATGATCAAAATGCCTTCGAAAACAGCGATACCAGAATCAAATGAGTGTGAATTTGCGGGTGAAACCTAACAAAGGAAATAGGCAAGAAACAAAAGACGAGCTGACCTACAATTTCCGCGGGAGAGCGTCATGATAACCCCATCAGCAGCGAACATGATCACGTGTGTGCACACACACGCCAAAACCAGCCGTTGCGTCGTCGCTTTTCACACTGCGGTGACGTGGACGGCCGCTTAGTACTTCGGTACTTTATGAATAAAGCGGCATAACAGTACGTTATATTGGAAGCGTTGTCATACACTCTACAACTTCCCTCCCCATAAAAAGCCGGCACTGGGGTCAATTTTTAGGTTTCCGTTTTTGTCCTTATTGTTAGACTAACCTCCCTGAAACCTTTCAATCAGGTTGCTGTCCTCTTATAGGTGAATTTCGTAAATGATCTTCCATGGGATAAGGGAACTGGGCAATTTAATAACTAGGGAACTGACATAACGGTTAGGGAGGACAGTTCGGGGGCATTCTTATCAATACGCAAGAGATGAAATTGGTGGAGCGCTAAGGACGCCCCAAAGCGAAAGCGTTGGCCAAGAACATCTTCACTAATCAAGAACGAAAGTCAGAGGTTTGAAGGCGATTAGATACCGCCTCCAGTTCTGACCGTAAATTATGCAATCAAGCAATCCGATGAGTTATTGTTGCCTTGTCGAGGAGCTCCCGGGGAATGAAAGTCTTCTGATTACTGGGATAGCATGTTTACGATGTCAAAATTTTGATCAACCGATTGGATGGCATCATCTGACTGAATGGCACGCTAGGATTGGAACGTGCGGCTTAATTCGACTTGAAGCAAAGAAACTCACTAGGCGCATGAATCGTAACGACTGACAGATTCTTTCTTCTTCGATTTGGCAGTTAGCGACTTGTCGAGCTCTTTTTCGGGAACCAGGCAATCCCTAGTCTGCTGAACACGGGTACTTCTACAAAAAAGGGCGGTGTCCGACCTTAGCGGGCGGGCTAATGTGGCTAACGGAATACTTAAATGTCGAAAAAACTCATAAAGATTCAAAAGTTATGTGGGCGGAGTTTTCCAAAGGGGCGAGGCGCAAATACAGCGAGTGGGGATAATTAGTCAGGTGCATAAGTGTCATGTATGTGAAAAAATGGGGAACAACAATGAAAAATATAAAAAAAGGAACAGAAATCCGTCAGAAATCCAAAAAATCGTCTACAAAGAAGGCGCAGTTGGAGCAAAACGGTCAATATATGTGAACACTCAACCGATTAATACTTTTACAAAATCAAATTAGAAAAAAATCTAAAACACAAGGAAATAAATTTTCATGTACTTTCATATAAATACGTTTACAGTAGGCTTCTGATCAGTGAGTGAGGTGCTTATTATTTACACAGAAGTAATCGAAGAAAAAAAAATAATTGTGCGGAGAAATTTGGGAAGTTTTGGGTTCATAGGGCCTTCTGCAACGAAACTTTTTGCTGCTTTTTCACGTTTTCACGTTTGGACATCTACAGTTTAATCTGACTAGGTGATAGAACTGCCAGAGCTTCATCCACTTTATTCATCGTTTAGAAACTTATCAATACGAATTTTCTTCCCCTTCCTTAAACTGTATTCATTGGTAACTCGAGAACTTCACTGGCAACACAACAGATCAAATTCTCAATCCAAAAAAATGCTGAACTTACTCCAATGTTGAAACATAGACTACCGACCTGCTCCAACTGTTAGAGCTGAATTCTGACTGGATGAAGCAGCAGCAGCGATTGCAGCAGCGAAATCAAGTCCCGGAGGGAGTGTTCCAAGATCGCCATTGAGATGAAGAGGGTGAGGAAGACTGCCACCTTGTAGCAGACCACCAGTCAAAGGAGATGCATAAGGACTAGGACCGCTTGTTACGCTCGATCGTCCAGTCGACGGAGGTATATTAACCTGTCAACATGAGTCTCTTCAATGAGTGAAAACATCAGCAGGAAAACGAGGCACGAACCTGTAGAGGTGATGCATCAACAGATGATGGAGGCGTCTCGTCTGGCTCCTTTTTGAGAACTTTATCAGCAGTCTCCAGATCTTTCAGAATCATTCTGCAATATTGAACAGTAACAACTGAATGACAACATTCGACAAAAGCTAAGATTTACAAAAATGATTAAGCACTATACAAGCTACTTCACCATTATGTCATGTCCATTGTTTTCCTATGACTTTTGGAATGAAAACACTTGGCATTTCAGCTTATTCCCTAGCAACCTATGTGTACAACCTTTTACTTAAAAAGGTACTATCACGTTCACGCAACGCCTTCACAAGCGCATCAAGCTAATTGCTCGTTTCTAAGCAATTCCAGTACTTAGGAAATGACTTCTTTTGCTTGACAACATAACACATATGTCTAGTTTCCCCCAGAACATACAGCGACTGGACAAAACAAATACAGTCGCGGAAAAAAAGCATGGAACAAACTTTGAAAATCACATTTAATTCGTTTTGATTATTTATCTCGCAAACCAACAATATTAGGAGCAGCACTCAAGGATACAACGTAGTAATTTAGTACAATCGATATATTGGTGGAGCAGAGGTAGTGTAGCGGCAAATGGCGCCATCTAACACGTGCGGGATCTGCGGGTGAAATCCCAAAACAGCTTCGCTCAAGCCAACTAAACTTTT